ATGGCCCATGAGGTCTCTTCCAACTCTATGATTCTATGATTCTATTTCACTTTCTGTCCTTGTGATAATTGGATTTTGAAAAAATGGCTTGTTGTGGATTGGGGATAAAGCTTCAGTTGATACACCTTTTCCTCATGATAACTCTTTCAAGAGTAATTTCTCTTCTTAGGGGTAGATTTCCCTTACTTCCTGTTGTCTCTCCCCCCTCCTCCCCCTGTTCTTAACTATAAATCATTTGTAAGTAGGATGTTTGTAACTTTAGGGCTACCTCTATATGGGTTAAGTCTAGATTGTCTGAAAGCTCATTTCTCCCCATAAAACACTGCCCGAATCTTTCTCCACACCACTCCACTCTCATAGGATTGCTTATTAAGAATGACATAGAGAATCTTCTTGGTAGCTGTTTGTAGCCTATCAAAATCCGATGAGAGGATCAGTTGGCCCCATCTCTGTTCTTTTTGCTGAAGACAAATACCTTATTTTTTTGTTTTCCATATCTGTTGATAGATTTTTATTCGAACTATATTCTCTTTCTGTAGATTGAAGCAGTAATGTTGGTAGGCCACCTGTTCCTGCTTTACTTATCCCAAATGCTCTGAGTGCAACTTTCACTTACTTTCAGAAATTGAAGGTTTGTCTTCTTGTGGGTCATCTTCAAATGACTCTGTCATCCTTTAATCTCTTTTATATTGTTCTTTTGCATTTGGTTCCCATTGTTTTCATTTCTACTTGGTCATGAACTGTGTTCTTTTGCCTGTCATAGGACCTCATCACATCGCCTTATACTTGGTTTCTGAGCCCCTTTGCATAAAGTTGTCTCCTTTCATCAGCAACCAGTTGGAAACCATCTGCAAAAGGTGTTAGAAATATAATAATTGAATATGTAATTAAAATTGTGTTTTTATCTTGAAGCCATTCAAAAGCACAGCTTTTTCTGTGTGATCCCACATCCCGTATGCTTCCCATCAGCTGTGCTGTGACATCCCCTTAGGAGCATGTGTGGGGGTGGATTCTTCCTCATTCCTTTTTCAGTGAGTGCTCTTTGCTAATTAAAGGCTGTTTACTAATTAAATGTTTCCTTTTATTTATTTTGCATTTTTACATACTGGATCTCTGGAATTTTGGGAATCTCTAGTAATGCGCAGATGCAAGATCTTCCAAAATCTCATGATAACACTACTTAGTGTTGCATCCCAGATCAGGAAACGAGACCATAAGATTATATCCACCACACTGGACTGTGAGAAAAACAATCCTTTTTTATTGATGAAAAATGATTACAAAAGAAAGGTAAATGCAAAGTCAAAAAGCCACAGTAGAAACTCAGCAGTCAGGAAAAATCTTTGAACTTGAGCAAAATTTCAAAAACAACAATACAAAAGCCAGGAACCTGTTAGCATCACTAACCGTACTTGAAAACTAGAAGCCGCTGGGAATGCAGGCCATGGAACACAGGAAAACTGCCAAAGTGCTGCCTCAGTCTAAAACATTGCTTGATCTAACGAGACACCCGGGGGGAGGCCCCTTAAACTAAAGAAACTATTTCTTGAAACGCCTCCAGACTTTGAAGAAGCCTGAGCCTCCCTCTCCCGTAATCTATTTGACCTTYGTAGAAACTGTGATTCACTCCTGTTTTTCCAAATCTGTTCCCTTYGGTCCTCATTAAAWWAAAAMCCAGGYGTGATYCCYTCTGGAGAGCTATCAYGGYTTGATTCTAAAACATTMTYATYARRCTGTTYARTTTCACTTTCYCYGCCACTKWCCTCAGCATCAACAGTTTCAACACTATCAGGGAAAGATACATGTTCAGTGGCTTGCTCAGTTGCATCAGGAAATACAATAAGAGAATCAGGTTCACACAGAGATTGAGGCTCAGGTTCACACGGATGCTGAACCCCAACACKTAGAGACTTCCAGCCTATGTAGCTGTGCAATATTTACATTTTTAAAAGGTCAAAAACAGATGTTAGGGGGTATCAAATGGATTGGGAGGAGAAAACCAACATGTGGTATGATGAGTCAAGGCACATTATTTTCAAAAGATAGAAACTGGGTGTGATTGGGTTTGTATGCATCCCTTGTGTATGGAATGTGCATCCAGCCTTTATAAACAACAGGATGCATACAGAGTTCTCTATGTGAATGTGATGAGGTCCATAGGGCATCCCCACTCTTGGTTTTTCTTTGATTTCTTAAACCTTGTGGGAAACATCTCTTTTTTGCCACCTTCTATTTAGAGCAGTGGTTCTCAACCTGTGGGTCCCCAGATGTTTTGGGCTTCAGCTCCCAGAAATCCTAACAGATGGTAAACTGCCTGGGATTTCTGGGAGTTGTAAGCCAAAACACCTAAGGACCCACAGCTTGAGAACCACTGATTTAAAGAAACCCATTGACATTTTTTTTGTGCCGGGGTTAAAATAACTACTATAATAATCAGGACAGAAGTGTTGGTTATTATAGTAGTTCTCTTAATCCTGGCACAAAAAATGTTGAACAGCGCATTCAGGGTTTTGACTCTGTTCTGTCACCATTCGCTTTTGCTTTTTTTTCTGTTCTTGGCTGCTTGAAGAGTTTCATATATCATCTATTGAGGCTTCTCTTTTTTTGCTGTAAATAATGTTTTTCTGTATTTCTCTCTTCTAGTGACTGTGCCTTCAGACTAGAGTGCTAATTCCTGTTAAACTCTGTTCTTCACTTTTACTCTTACTAGTTCATAGTCTGTGTGACACTCCAATCTTTTTCTTATTTTTGTAGAAAGAATGAAATTGCTCCATCCTCTGCTTCCAATTATGTCATCTATTTGATATTTATTATTTATTTATTTATTTATTTATTTCGGGCACTTCTACCCTGCCCTTCTCAACCCCCTGGAAGGGGGGGGGGGACTCAGGGCGGCTTACAACCGGCACAGTTCGATGCCACAATTCAACAATAAAATACATAACAACAATAACCACAATAGTTAAAACATTCAATTAATACAATAACAACTAAAAAGCCAATCTAGCCAATATTGATCTTTCGGTGATATCCATATGTAGAGTCACTTCTTGGGTTTTTTAAAGAAAGTATTTGCCATGTACAAACTATTTGCCTTTAAAAATTCAGTCAGTTGGACTCTTATCTCATTTCTTGATCCTAGGCTATTTTTTCTACAATCTTTGATTCTGAATCGATTCCTATTTTTGCATTCCAGTTGGCTATGATTAACATGAACTCCTGTTTGATGTGTGATTTATTTCCTTTTGTATTCTCGTGTAGAATTTTCATATTTCTTCTTGTATTTTCTGTATGGTTGAAGCATATAGTTGGATTATGGCTATATTAATGGATTTTCCCTTAAGTATTATTGATATTATTCTCTGTATCCTTTGACTGCTTTTGCTACATCTTCTTACTAAAATGCCACCCTATTTTTTCTTTCTGGAGTAAAACAGTTTTGGTCACTAAAATGGTACAATGACTGTAAAACTGAATTTATCATTAATTTGGGTTATGACATCATAATTATTGAATAGGATGCCAGCCACTGTTCTCCTCCCAGAGAATATCTGGAACCTCATGTGGGCAAACAAACTGACATAGGAAGTTCACAGCATATATCTAGAAGATTATCCAAATTGCTCCACAGAAGTATGAACTCATTTTTCTGCATTTGTATGACTTTTCTTAAAATTTATTTAGTCATTTAAGTGTTTGCAACCGGGGAACATGGAGGGAGCCCTTGAAGTACTCTGAACTGGGGAGGGTAATCTCTGACCCATGAGCATAATACAGACTGTAGAATTCTCTATCCACCCTTTCAAGGCTCTGGAGGAATGCTGTCCACAGTTTCACTGCCCCTTGTGCATTGCACAAATCATCCTCACTGATATAGATCAATAATGTCGCAAAACTGTCCACATTGCACACTCATCTCAAAAATACAATAAGGCGTATATATTGTATATAGATTGTCAGGGAAGGCTAATAACCTCATCACACGGGCCACTGGAATCGCAACACATCATGGCAAATCCAGCATGGAGGACCCATCAAGCATCACTTGGCTTGGTAAGAGGGTGATCCCATGGGGGGAAACATTGATCATGTGGCTTTCCCCAACTGCTTTCCATGCAACACAGGAAGCCTCTCATGTTGTGCCATGTTGGCATACACTGGCTCCTCTCTAGATGACCCATAGAGCCCCACAGGAAGTTCACATGGTTTGTGAGTTGGGAGCTGGCAGGCTACCTTGGGTCAACTAGGGCTGGACCAGCATATGCTGAGCAAAACAGCTCTGTCTGATGAGGTCGTAAACCATTGGTATCCACTGGGGTTGGGTTCCCTTTTGTGGATGTTAAAATCTGTGGATGCTCATGTTTCATTATATACAATGGTGTAGTAAAATGTCACTCTTCATATAAAATGGGAAAATCAAGGATCTCTCTCTCTCTCTCTCTCTCTCTCTCTCTCACTATATATATATATATATATATATATATATATATTCAAGCCAGGCTTACTTGAATCTATACATGAGGGCGGTGGATGCAGAGGGCCAACTGTACACTGCCAGGGAAAAAGCCTTTCCAAGTTATCAAGGGATGTGCTTGCTGATTTGGTGGAAGCAACATTCTAAGAATGCAAGTCCTTCAAGTTCTTTGCCAGAGTGGGATGAGCATAATGAGGGAGGTTACCACCCCTGAAGTAAGTTTGAGAAAGCTAAAAGAAGTACTTGGTAAAAGGTGCATTATAAATGGCACCAATTTTTTTTCTTTCTCTTACCCACCATATCTGTCTCTCCCTTTCTCCTCAACTTTTCATGTCTGCTGGCAGCTATGAATGAAAAGTAACATGCTAAATGACTGGCATCTATTAACACTCCTCCACAATCCTTCAGTCTTACGTTTGAAAGGCTCTTGGGTTTTTTTAAAGGAAGAAAATAAGAGAAGGGGAAAGGAGGGGGGGGGAGAGAGAGAGAGAGAGAGAGAGAGAGAGAGGGGAGGGAGGGAGATTGGAGGATAGTGTGTTCTTTGAATCTGGCTCTGCTGAACCCCTGCCAAATGCAGGCCGTTTCATTCAAAGGCTGAGTGAATAAATGAGAATAACATCCTTGGGGACCTTCGGGATCAGTTTACTTTGAAAATGTTCAGCCTCACAAAGGGTCAGAGTCACAAGGTAAATGGAAATGGCTGGGAGGGGACTTTGATGACCGAGACACTGTAACTGTAGAGGACTTGAAAGAAAATTGTAGTTTTATTTATTTATTTATTTTAAGAGAGAGGGAAGGAGAGAAAGCAAAAAGTGAAAGAGAGAAGGGGGGGGGGAGAAAGAAAGATGTGAAGGAGAGAAGAGAGGGCAGGAAGTGACTTGATGGTTAAAAAAAAACAAGTGGAAAATGATAACATAAGGAATATTTTCCATTAAGCTCATTCTTGAAAATATTGCCAGCTAGAAGAAAACTGAACAGTAAATAGCTCTTGGAAAGTTCAGTGGTCTTCCTTTTGCTTCAGGGTGCACAGTTTTGCTGTTGTATAGTTTGTGTTGTTACTCTTGTTTTTAAAAAGTGTAGACATTTAGAGTGAGACCCAGTGTGTCATAGAGGTTTGAGAATAGGACCATGACTCCGATTCCCCACTCAGCCATAAACCATTCCGATTCCCCACTCAGCCATTTTATTTTTACAGAACACTCACTTTAGCAAAAGTTCTTCTATTCTGGGAAAGGAACTCAAATACCAGCACTTGGAAAGTTACTTATTTTCCCAACCAGCATAGCCTCTTCTATGTCTAAGTTCATGTCCATGTTTGGGGAAAGGGGGATCTGTGAACCACATGCACCTCACCAGCTGCTTTATTTTGTAGTTCTCAGATCTTTTTAAACCCTCCAAGGGTTTAACTCACCTCAAGCAAAAGGAAGACCACTAAACTTTCCAAGAGCTCCAAGGACTCAAGTGCCCCCCACTGAAATGGTGAGTGTGATTTGCTACGGAAAACCAGTGGTAAACAGTAGGGATGTGCAAATAATTGTAAGAGGGTTGTAAATTGTGTTTTGTTAAATCTATACTTACAACTCAATTTATTACTTCCAGAGCCACCCCTTTCAAATACAAATGAATTGGGAAAAACCCACCTATGAGTTTTCGTAAATAAGTTCATTTGTTTCATAAGTCCTCTCTCTCTCTCCACCTGCCTCCCTCTCACTCCTTGTGCCCTTGTGGCAGCAGTAGGGATGCTCTCCCCACTCTCTCACTCTCCGAAGACCTCCCCCTCATGGCAAGCCACATGACTAGCATAGCAGGAGGCCCTGGTGATGGTTGCAAGCAGGTCCTGGCCTGCACCTGGGTGTTAGAGTTCAGCCTGTGTTTGTGTTTCAAGATAACGGTGCTTCTGATTTGGGAAATGATGGCACTGAGGATCAAGATGGAGACTGTTTGGTCAATTATATTAATGCAGAGAATGACAGAGAGGCACCAGTTCAAAGGGCAGTTTCTCATGAGAATGTTCCTACAGGGCATAGGGATGATGGTTTACTCCCTGTCTCAGTGAGCTCCCAAGATTTGGGGTTTGAAAACAACCTTAAACCTGGAGAAACTAATGAGCAGCAAGGTAAGGAGCTCAGAGAAAGATGGCTGGAGTTCAGCCAGAATAGACAACTCAGTCAAGGGTTGCGTCACTCCTCTAGGCTCCGAGAGATAAAAACAAGGAGTGATAGCAGAGGAAAGTGAAACCAGTTTCTGAGTGTTGGGATATAAAGTTTGCTTCAAGGGAAAACTTGTTAGATAAAGCATCATTTCAAAATCCTAGTTCTTGTTCCATGGAAGCCTTGCTTGGAAGATTTATGTTAAGGATATTTATTCATGGTTGGACTTCTTGGTTTTTTTGGATTTGATTGCAAAAGTCTGGATCTTGCTTTTGTACTTTGTTAAACCCTGCCTTGGATTGCCTTTGTACTTTGTTGAACCCTGCCTTGGATTACTTTGTTCCTGCTGGTCTTTTTACCGTATAGGGACTTCTCTGCTTTCTTAAAAGCACATATTTTCAACTGGCTATTTTATTATGCTTCAATAAAAAAGGATTGTTTTCCTATTCATCATGTGGTGTTTTAAAGTTAGAGGGTTATTCCTGTCCTGGAGTGCAACACTGGGGCTCCTGCAGTAGTGCTACTTTTCCCGAGAGAGCCTAAAGCCTCTGAGAGGTTGTGTTGTTGCGAGTATACCTGGCATCTTTCACAGGGCCTGCAGCCTTCAGTGGGGCCTCCTCTTCCACCGGGCATGCTGCTCACCCTGGACATGGCCTGCTCTTGTAAGACCGGGTGGTAGATGGAGCAAGCAGGCCTGCCTAGTGTCTGGCGAAGAAGAGGCCCCACCAAGGGTTGCAGACCCTGCTTAGGATGATGGGTACTCCTGCACCAGAGACCTTTGTCAGGGCCTCCTCCTTTGTCGGGTGCTCAGTTCACCCCAGGCCCAGCACAGGTCAGGGGCCCTTGTGGCACACCCCAGCCCCAGTGCAGGACAGGGCTTGCTTGCGTAAGGTCTGGTAGCAGATGGAGAAGAGCCGTCCAAGCCCCACAGGGCCTCCTCCTCCACCAGGTATAGCTTAGGTCTTGTAGGTTTTTCAAATAACAAAAGGAAAAAATTCTCATCACTTTGTATCAGATATGACCTGAACCCCTTACAAACACCTTAGAATCAAAACAGGGGTTGCATGAATTTTGTAAATACAAACAAAGCAGATTTTTGGCTTCATGCACACCTCTAGTAAACAGCATCAGCTGATCGGCACTCTACTATTTGTGAGGCTGTTACTTTTTATCCTTCTTATCCAACAACAACAATTGCATTTATTTAAAATATTTCTGTATCACCACCCAATTCACAAGGGCTACTAAAGTGATGCCCAAATTAAAAAAATAAAATCATACCAAGATGAAAATATTTTAAGAACATTAAAATACTCTGCAAATCTCCTGAAAAGGAGACTTAAAACAATTCTAGAACCTAGTTAAAAAGCTCTCAATGCCAGGTGGAACAGCAGTGTTTTGGCTACTATTCTAGCTTTAAATAATGCTGCTAATTCTGCATGCAGTGTATGCCTACTTAATTTGATTGCAATCTTTAAGGAGGTGAGTTCAGGAAAAAAGTTATATAGGACAGGAAAGCTACAGATAATTTCCACATGTTAAAAAACCTAGTCTAGTTAGAGGTCTTGCCAGGCATGTAGCCCGGGGGGGGGGGGGGGCTTGAGGGGCTTCACCCCCCCCCCCCGAAATTCTCATGGTGGTTCGCGAAAAGGCCTTACTGGTGCATTATTTAAACTGTTATGTTTATTCATATCATGATCTGATCACCATACTCAATATATCCCATATGCATGGGGGTTATTGGGGTAATGATACAAAAGGTTTGCTAGGCTAGACCCTCTTTCACTCAGACTCAGCCCCCCCCGAAACTCAGCCCCCCTGAAACCCCCCCCTGAAAAAAAATTAGCCCCTCCCCCCCCCGAAACGAAATCCTGGCTACGGGCCTGGGTCTTGCTAACATCATATTCGAGTCTTGACATCTAATTTATCTTACTCATTCAAATATCTCATGTCACATGTTTAATGAGCTGATGTTTTGAGATACTGGATAAAATATCTATCCCCCTTCAAAAGAATTGTGCAAATAGATCATTAGCCAGAAGCATTCGGTAGCCATCAACAATACTTATCTGGAAATATTAGCTATGCCTCTCCCTGGTAAAGCAGAAGTTATAGTGGATGTGCATGACCGAGGAGTAGGCACAAAGGGTAGTTTTCACTTTTTCCAATCCTTCCTCCAGTTGTGCCCCGCTATTTACCCCCAGCTGGAAATGCCTGGAAAAATGGATGTCCTATAAAGTATATAGGACATATTTATCCTTGATAGAGGAAACTTCTCCAAAGATTTGGGGACCACAGCAATTGTATACAGTCTCTTTATCATGGAAAGGATCCTAATCATGGAAAGGATCCTGGACTTGCCAGCGTGACATCTCAAAGTGCATATGATAGCAAGTGCATAGCGGATGGGACTGCAATTTTATTTGCATATACTACTAAAGTGATGCAAGTGATGTCATGATTCTATAACATCTTTATCTTTAAAAAAAATCTTTTTTAAAGCAGGGGGCTGAGAAGTAAGCAAATTAGATTGTTGAATATGTAGCTATTGTAATAGATGTGGAACACTGCTGTACACACACACAAATGTCTCTAAAAGTTTCACCATCCTTTTTGCTGATGCTTCCAAATAGGACAGGACAGGACATAATCCATTAAAGACCAGAGTTGGGGGGAGAGGGGGCTCACACTGATTTGTCATCATCCCTCCTCCTTCAGTGCATTCCATGTATCTTGGTCATTATATGACTCACAATCTGCTCCTATGTCCATTGGAGGAAATACTACCATTTGCTTCAGCTGCGTTAAAGTGCAGCCTGTCTTTTATCTAGACATTAGTGCATGCACAAATTTGTTTTAAGTTTGAGGAAGGAAGCAAATTATGACACAATAGAATATCAGTGACAATGTGAGACTATGTCCCTCCCCCCCTCCTTCCAATCCCTCTCCCCTTGCTATATAATATGATCTTTTTAGTCACATTACAGTGACCAGCAGTGGGGAGATTTTCTCTAATAGATATTTTCTCCGAGAGAATATTCCATGGGCCATTTCAATAGGTACAGTCCACAGAGTTCCATCATTACACACATTCCTTAATTCCAGGAAAGAGATGGGTATCTTTTCTGAGCAACCAGATGGCATTATAGGGCAGGCACTAAGAGGTGCTTTATAATACACAGACCAAGAGATAGGAAACTCTCCAAATTACTATGTCTTAGCATCAAACTGACCATCAACTATCAGGCAACATCTGGGATTCTCTAGAATAGTGATTCTCACCTGTGGGTCCGCAGGTGTTATGGCCTACAACTCTCAGAAATCCCAGCCAATTTACCAGCTGTTAGGATTTCTGGGAGCTGAAAGCCTAAACATCTGGGGACCCACAGGTTAAGAACCACTTCCCTGGTGTATATTTATGTTGCTGGCTTACATTCTATAGTTAGATGATTCAATAAGGTAAGAGTGTTGAACCACTGAACCAATAGGCCTCATCATCCCAGAGTTTTCTTAATAAATCCACTCTAGTTGTCTAATCAACAGGATTCCAACTAGAGGTATACGAAATGGCTCAAATCTGATTAGTAATTCATTTTGGAGATTTGTATGGCCCCCGCTTTGATTTGTATAAAGTCAGAGGGGTCCCATACTGGCCTCTGAAACAACAAATCTTTTTGAATCTCTCCAAAAGTTTCAGATACTGCTTTTTCAATTGGTAAATCCTTTGGAGGGTCCCTTTCCGATAATTGCAATGTCACTGTTTTTCTACAGATGAGGAGAGAAGATGGTACAATTTTCCGCCTTTAGTAACTTGGCTTTGGCAGTGTTAGCTTGAGGGGAATACCTTTTGCTATTCCATCCTAAATGGCAAAAAAATTCCAATCAGTGGGGCTCATGTTGGGTTCCATATAAGATGTGTGATGAATCTACTGTGGATTTTACTGCAGATTTCAAAGTGTGCCAATACAGAATCTGTTTTGAGGATAGAGCATGGCACCTTGGATAGAAACAGGGTTGCAACAGAGCACATGTTGGGTGCAACCACAATGGTTCACAATTTCTATTAAGTAGGACCACTCATGGTGTGCTTGAACCACTGACTGGGGACTGGTACTCTGTTGTTGATTAGATTTCTGCATGCCTGAATTTCCAAACTATAGTATATTAATTCTGCTACTGCTCCACTGACATAGGCAGGGCTGTTAAGTTTGGTACCTACCTAGCTTGGAATCCTGATCAGAGCCCATCACAAACAGGTAAGCAATCTGGTCACTGGCAAATTAGTTTTAGCACTCCTCTTCCTTTCCTTCCTCCCTGGAATTAAATATGACTGAGACATTCTTCAAGTAGCTAGCATATAGCTATGAATGTACTTTGTGCCTTTAGTTAATTTCAGGCATGTGGTAGAGCGAGAAGGGGAGTTTTCTTATCATATGCCTCTCCATGATTGAAGTATAAATTTCTCAGAATCTTGTTAAAGTAATAAAGGACCAGGACAAAATGGTCCATTGGTTCCTCCCCATCTGAACGACTAAAGCAGTGGTTCTCAACCTGTGGATCCCCAGGTGTTTTGCCCTACGACTCCCAGAAATCCCAGCCAGTTTACTAGCTGTTAGGATTTCTGGGAGTTGAAGACCAAAACATCTAGGGTCCCACAGGTTCAGAACCATTGTACTAAAGGAAAGTGTGATTGACACATGGAAGTCAAATTGTAAGCAGACATACTCTGTGACACTGCACAACATCATGCCTAAGCTGTAGCTTCCAATAGCTTAGGTCTTGCAGGTTTTTATAATAACAAAAGGAACAAATAAAAAAATTCTCATCACTTTGTATCAGGTATGACCTGGACCCCTTACAAACACCTTAGAATCAAAACAGGAATTGCATGAATTTCGTAAATGCAAATAAAACGGATTTTTGGCTCCATGCACACCTCTAGTAGACAGCATCAGCTGATTGGCACTTTACTATTTGTCATGCCTAAGCTGTAGCTTCCAATTTCTTCATTTTCTGGCATAAGAACTAACCCGAAGGAGCCTTAATTCTGAACTTAACCCTTCCGTTTTCATGATCATTGACTGAAATACTAATGGGTGAGAGTTCAGGTTCCATGACAGTCTTTGCCATATAGAACTGGGTTTATTTCTCCTAGTAATTTCACTAGGTAATTTATTGACTAGGCAAGGATTCAAAAATGAAAATGTATGGTTCATTTAGAACTGACAACCCAAATGGTGAACAACCTGGCTTCTGCAATATAAGTTCTTTGGCTCAGTTGTATTTCCATGGCAGTCGGATAAAGCAGGTTATATTTCTTTTTCCAAATGGCACCATATGTTTTGAATGCCAAGCAAAGTTACATATGGAAGAAATAAGGACAGCCTAGCTTAGCTTATTGCTATAGACTGCAGAAACATATGTTTTAAAGTATTCCTTCTTGGTCTCACCTCCTACGATGATTTTCATATAGAAGACTCTTTCGTTAGTTACATTTTTTATTTTTTCATTATCTTCCAGGACCCATCCTGCCCTTCCTGAGTAATTCAACTGCTTTGCTAACCTCTGCAAATAAAGTTTTCTATTTCCCCCTTTTCACTTCTGAAATTCATATGAAATGTTTTGTGTGGTCTGCCAGCAAATAATAATAATAATAATAATAATAATAATAATAATAATAATAATAATAATATGTAAATGAGATCTGGAAGCTCACTACAAATTAATTATCTGAAGGTCAGCTAATGTTTGGAAGTTTTGTTCTTTGCAACGTACACAACATTTGCCTTCAGAGGGCACCCCAAGGCAGTTCAATAATATTTGCCTACCTAGTTAAGCTGGCATACGTTTTTGCTGCAACTTGAGCACAGAATCTGCATCAAAAACCGAGGTTCACAGCACTCCTTGGCTGTCATTGAGCTGAGGAGCGCTGAGGCAGCCATATTTAATCAGCACTGAAACCTCCTCCTGGGTGATGTTTGTTCTCTCCTGTAATCTTTTATTCTAAGCCATTTCCCAGATGGCATTATTGATTCATGTCATTGTCCTCCACATGGTGTTTCGTTCTTATGCAACATGATACTTAGCTGCCTGTTGTCTTGATGAGCATGATTCTGTGACAGAAAAAAGTTGTGATAGCCATTCTGCTTCTTTAAGATTCTATGCTATGCATCAAATGCAACCAACAAATATTTATTTTGATCCCATCCATTGGCTAGATTTTTTTTAAAAAAATGTATAAAATGATAGAGTCCTGCATATCTTTGCAAGAGTCCAGGTAAGTATGGATATATACCCAAAAATCTATGAAAATTAGAAAACAGCGGACAGTTGATATGGAGATATGTTTTTTTCTAGTTTTAGTATTACATCGAAACATGTAAATCTTTTAGTTATTAACAGAAAAGATATTTCTAGATGTTGTCTAAGAATACTCAAGTTTGCCCATGATTCTCAATTTGGTATTGGTACTGAATTGAAAAAACTAAATATATGAAACAAAATATCTTGTGTTATTCTATTGCATTGTGCTGTTGTGTGCCTTCAAGTTGTTTCCATTGTATGGTGGCCTTAAGGTTAACCTATCACAGGATTTATAAGGAATCCAAGAATGTTAATTTCCCAGGGTCACTCAGTGGGTTTCATGGGCAAGTGGAGATTTGAACCCTGATCTCCAGACTCATAGTCCAACACTCAAACCACCACTCTACACTGGATCACACTTATTGCATTATTATTGATCACATTGTTGTACACAATTCTGGGTCAAAACTACATGGTTAGTTTCCTTTGGTGTCTTTCTGACCACTAGAGATCTATACTTTTAGGGGCCGTGGTGGTGCAACAGGTTAAAATGTTGACCTGCTGATATAGCTGTCCAGAAGATTAGCTGCTCAAATTCGTGGGATGAGGTGAGCTCTCCTGTTAGCCCCAGCACCTGCCAACCTAGCAGTTCAAAAACATACAAATATGAGTAGACCTTTACCTTTATCTCTGTGTGTGTTTCATTGTTTTGAGGCATTGATTTTTTAAGCCAACATGTTTATAAGTTCCAATTGTTCTATTGTACTATTATTAAGACCAGCAACTGTATTTATGCCACAATATTGTTTGTCAATACAGTGTCAGCAAAATGTCAGCTAAAATAACAACCATATAATCATACTAAAAATAGAAAAGGAACCAGAAGTCTGCCCAAAATTTGTGTGTGTGTGTGTGTGTGTGTGTGTCAAGAGTGACTTGAGAAACTGCAAGTTGCTTCTGGTTTGAGAGAATTGGCCATCTGCAAGGACATTGCCCAGGGGACGCCTGGGTGTTTTGATGTTTTTACCATCCTTTCATGTCCCTCTGTCAGCCGGAGCTCACAGAGGGAGCTCATCCACGCTTTTCCCAGATTTGAACCTCCAGCCTGTTGGTCTTCAGTCCTGCCAGCACAATGGTTTAACCCATTGCACCACTGGGGGCTCTCTTGCCCAAAATAATAAAATGAATTTTCCTGTCCACTTATTGAAAGTGATCAGGGTGTGGTAATCTTATAAAACTACTACTTGATTCCAGAAAGGATCTGTAACTCTATAAGACAAGGCTTCTCAAAAGGTGCTGACATGTTGGGTATTTGATCATTTTTTTATTATTTTATTTTGGGACTTTTCATTAAAGTGTCATTTGCAGAAACTTTGGAATTGTGGTCTAATTGCAAAAAGCACAAACGTATGTTGTTGCTGTTGCTGTTGTTGTTGTTGTTGTGGCTGTTTATTTGTATTTGTTTTGCTTCTTAGAGTATCAAATCAATTCCTTGAATTTTTTTGCAGGTCTAGAGATGTGGGAGTTGTGAAAATGGCTTTGGAGACCGGTAGGTAATATGCTGACTATATTTCATCTACTTCTCTTCTAAAATTTATGAACAAATCCTGCTGCTTGGTGCATTGTAGCAATTCAGCCAAGCAGAGTTCTGAAACCGCTGTGCTGCCATGTAATGTGTAGGACTCCACATAACAAAAGGCAAGCAAACTTCCTTCCACTTTTAGAGTAAAATCATTTCTTAATGTATCTGTTTTTCCCCTACATGATTAAGACACTGAAATATTAGAAGAGCAATGGAATGTTTTTATAACTGTGAGAGTTTAATCCATGGAAGACAACCAAGTGTCCTTGAAAACACTTTAGGGCATTGTGTCGCATCCAATTCACAGTTTTAATGATTCCAGCAACTGGAACTGGAACAGCACCCAGACTGTTTTCAAAAATGCATAATTTTTAAAAAAATTACAAAAGAAAGCAACCCCAGACTTTGCAGTTATAGTACTATAAAAAGAGAAATGAAAAAAAAAAAAGCCAGATCTGCATAGACAACTAGAAATGTTCCAGTGTGTTTCCAGAAGAGTTTTTAACAATACCATAATTCCTGGATCCTTACATGGGATACACACAACACACTGTCTTCCATTTGAAAACTTCCCTGGTTTTCCCACTGACTTTTCATTCTTTTTTTTAATAGGAGGAAAAATGGAATATCAACATAATGTCTTCAGGATCGTATTGATAGACTCTCTCTGTCTAGAAGTATGTATAGTTAAAGCACCCCCTGAAGCAAAAATGCAATCAATACAAAAGGCAGGTGGGCCTGCTTTTTGGCTAGATTGCATGGGGCTTGACAGGTCCTGCAGCCGAGTGCCGAGTAAGGAGTGCTCCTTACTCGGCGTTGACTGCAGGCCCTGCCCGGCATGGGTGCGTAAGCCGGGAAGCCTGCACCCGTCGGCCCAAAGCACCCAAAATTAAATAAACTGTCATTGGAGAACTTGAGGTGCCGGTCCATTTATTTATTTAGTTATTGCATTCCTATACAGCTTTTCCCACCCCTGGAAAGGGGGGACGGACCCAAAGCGGTGTACAACATAATAAATGCCAAAAAAATCAATGCCAAACACACACACACACACACACACACACACACACAAGTGATACATAACATATCTAGATCAATAACATATAACTATGAATTAAAATAATTATAAATGAAAAACACATCAAACATAGACAGAAAACATATTAGACATGTTAGACTTTGCACCAATCACATGGTTGTCATTTAGCTCCTTTATTAGTAAGCCGAATGCCTGTTTGCATAGCCAGATTTTGAGCTGTTTCCTAAACACTAAAAGGGAGGGGGGTGATCTAATCTCCCTGGGGATGGAGTTCCACAGCCCAGGGGCTACCACCAAGAAGGCCCTGTCTCTAGTCCCCACCAATTGCACTTGTAATGGTTGTGGGACTGAGAGCAGGACCTCCCCAGTTGATCTTAATGCTTCATATTCAGACAGGTAAAATGGACCAGAACCATTTAGGGATTTATAGGCAAAAGCCAGCACTTTTAATTGTGCTCAATAGCAGACTGGTAGCCAGTGGGACCAGCGCAACAGGGGGGCTGTGTGCTCTTTGTATGCCGCTCCAGTAAGGCAGTGCAGACTCATAATCCAGTTTAAAGCAGATTATGTGGATGATCTGCTTTGATAATCTGGATTATATGGCAGTATTGATCCGCCTCCTGCAGATAGCTCCAATCTTATGAATAGAAGCAGGAAATGGACCCAGGAACTTTGTAACAAATACATGGAGTGCTTCCCCTCATGTCTTCCAGTTCCCTGTGAGGGAACGATGGAAATTAAAGGTGAGTTGAAACAGCATTCCAAAGGTAATTCATAACAAAGCTTAAGATGAAACATGGTTGAGCACTCATTGTGTCTCTAGTGGAGCTGTGAAATATAGTTTATACATTTCATAATTTGGGGTCCAATTTCTTGATGTCATGGATAAGTAGGACCAAAGAGCAAAAGAAGAGCCATACTTTTATAACAACAGTAATCTTCTTTATCTTAAGTACTACTTATTGCTAGATGTGTACATCAACAGATTCAGAGCACTGAAAAAGTTGTTTTGGGCCAAATAGCTGAGCTCATAAAACTTCCCTTATTAATGCTTGAGAACAAAATTCCAAAACAGACCAAAAACAAAACTGGGAATGGGAGTGGTATGAATGGGCGAATGCCATAAAATTGTGCTTTTGTGTCTTCTTTTTCTTTGTTTTGCTTTAAGTCTCATATTTATATAAAAGTTAACCAAGGCAAAGAGCCCTATTCTTTACGATGGGCACACTACAAAAGGCATTAACAAGGACCCCTTGCTAAGTAGGTTTCAAGAGGGGCATTTTTAGTTATTGCATATGCAAAGGCCCCTACAAGTGAATTTTGGAGGTTTGGGAAATAAGAAAAGAAAATATAGAAAACAGCCATGTGGCAATGTATCTGGACCACACAATATGCTCTACACCAGTTTTTTAAAAACCTGAAACTTTTAATGAAAAAGGCATCAATTTTTATTTATGCAACTTGATACATATGGATCAATAGTATTCAAATATTTCAAATATAAGGCAAGTAGTAGCATTTAATAACATCCTAACATAATAGTAAGCAAGATATTTTAATCAAAATTCAGTAACTATCTTCTTTCACAGCATTTCATAGCTGTTTTTAATGTTTATGTTTACTTATCTAAAAAGAAATTTCAGGCTTCCCTAGAGTAAAACAGTAAAGGCAATGTACAACAAAAATAGTAAAAATGTCAATAAAATACCATAGTTAAAACAAACAATAAAACAGAACAATAGGCCAGAGAATTAACCATTAAAAATAAAGGAAAATAGAAAAGACCAGTTTGCCATAATGCTTTATTTTTTATCTGAAAAGGTTGATTAAAGAACTCAGCTCCATAGGCTTTATGGTATTGGTACTTTTGTACATTTCTGTATATATGCAGTTGTAATTTTTTGGCCTTTGCCAAAGTACATATTCAATGTATAGTGCCATAGGTGCATTCCTGTAAGTCAGTGGTTCTCAACCTGTGGGTCTCCAGATGTTTTGGCCTTCAACTCCCAGAAATCCTAACAGCTGGTAAACTGGCTGGAATTTCTGGGAGTTGTTGGCCAAAACACCTGGTGACCCACAGGTTGAGAATCACTGCTGTCAGTGTAACCATTTCATGTGGGATTATAGTTCATTGTGATTGATTCAGCATTCAGCAGTTAATTGTCTGCTCTACTTGAGACTAACCAGTAGGATTCCATCCATGCAATTGACATTATTGGGCTTGCTCTACAAGACTGCAGGAAAAGGAAAGATGAGGGAAGGGCTTCTCCAGTGTCCAGAAACCCAGTTGAAGAGACTCAAGCCATCTTCTTGCCCCCCTCTTCCAGTCCTTAAATAGACTCAAGTAGGGGTTCATAGTGGTCCATCTATATAAATAAAAATGTAATGTTCGTTTGTGGGATTAACATAACTCAAAAACCATTGGACTAATTGCTACCAAATTTGGACACAAGACACCTTCTAACCCAATGATCACATCACTCAAAAATTGATTTTGTCATTAGGGAGTTGTAGTTTCTGGGATTTATAGTTCACATACAATCAAAGAGCATTCTGAACCCCACCAACAACGGAATTGAACATGGCACACAGGACTCCCATGACCAACAGAAAACACTAGAAGAGTTTGGTGGGCATTGAACTTGAGTTTTGGAGTTGTAGTTCATCTACATCCAGAAAACATTGTGGAATCAAACAAAGGTGGATCTGGACCAAACTTGGCACAAATATTCCATATGCCCAAATATGAACACAGATGGAGTTTGGGGAAAATAGACCTTGACATTTGGGAGTTACAGTTACTGGGTTTTATAGTTCACCTACAATCAAAGAGCATCTCAACTTCCCACACAGAACCCCCATGACCAACAGAAAATACTTAAAGCCATCCAGTCCAAATTCCTTCACTATGGCAAGAAAACATAATCAAGGCCCTCTTAAACAAGAGCCGTCCAACCATAGATATAGATAGATATATAGGATTCACACATACAGAGATAAAATATCAGATTTCAAAGGGACCCCTAAAGAAGGACAATGATATGTTGCATGCTCCAGAGTAGGCAAACCAGACAATCTCTACATCAACACGGACAAAGAAACAACAACAAATTTACCCACAAGCATAAAGAAATAACATATATTAGAAAGCAGCACTTTCTCATTACTTGATTTTCCATATCACCAGACTGGGCCACAGCAATGCATGGCAGGGGACGGCTAGTGATTTAATAAATCATTGATATGGAACTTAGGTGGGACTAAGATTTAGCTCTATATACTTTAGGCACAAAAGAAACAAATTAATTATGTATTTTTGGTTATATGCCTGTGGTAAGGCTGGCCATTATTGTTATTGCGGTTTTTACGTTGTAAAATGTCATGTACACTGATGACACTCATCATCATGATAACATAATAGTTATGAGTTTATCAAGTTCCAGTTTCAAAACTAAGCCAGTAATAACTATACAATGGAAAGAAAGATTACTTTAATGCTCCATCAGATGCATTAAAAATATTTGGACAGTTTACCTCTGCAGAATTTCTGAAACTAACGTCAGGTACACAATCCTTCCACTTTTAGGGAAAAGGTTTGAATTGTATATTAATTTATCAAACAAATCCAGCAATTTCAGGGGAATTCCAGAAACCACCAAAGAGACAAAATGAGTGAAAGTGAGCCATATATATAGAAGGGGACAGGGGAAGTTTGATCTAACTAAAACAAACAAACAAACAAAAAGAGCCAAATGCAAAATGGACAAACTGTATAATAAAATCCATTAACTCCCACTTATGCTGCTTCCAAACTGTACAGAGTACACTTGTTTCTCTTCCCAGTTATGAGTTCTGCAGGCATGGCTCTACATCTTGCCACAGGCAGCTGAGAGCTATTAACGGACCACAACATCTGTTTCAACAACAGTGGTTCCTTGGTTAATGAAATTAATTTAAAAGAAGTCCAAAGTAAAATCCCATGACCTATCTAGTGTATCTCTGGGAAAACATGGCAACAGTTGGAATGATAAAATTCATATGCCTAAAATTATAGACTCAAGATCACAGGATTTTTAAAAAACGTTGGAACTGATACTTTAGAGCTGTTACAAAACGATGAAATGACTTCATGACATTTAATGTATATATGTTTTTTCCATCATAGTTGCTTCCATTTTTTATTTTCAAGGGTATGAATGCCCTTGCTTATGTGGCCAAAATGGTACCATATCAGCAGGCCTAAAAAAAGTTAAATTCTCAAGTTTACAGAGGTACATTGTTTTGAGAAGGTGGGAATTTGTTCGTTCATAACAGATAACAGACAAATATATTTATAACTAAAGATTCAATGCAGAGATCCTCTGTTAGTGATTTTTAAAAAGTCCTTAGTCCAAAGGTTAAAGTACCATTCTGCCCAACATCATTTTAGTGTAATTGTATAGCATATCAAGGGAACAATATTTTGTTCTTCACTCCTGTATTGTCCAGAATCTGCAAGTCATGCAAAGTATGATGGAGAGTAACAAGGACAAGAGGGCGGGAGCAGCAGGAAGAGGATGTCCAGTAGTGCATTCCCTGAGCATGGTTTTCAGCTCCCCTGCCAGTAACTCCTGCTCCTGATTGTCAGCAATTTCATCCTTGATTAATTTTTTATTGACCAGCCTTTAGTTGCTGCTGAGCTTCCTTCAGAGCATCATGTTTCGATTTGGTTGACTCTAATTTTGATCTTTCATACCCTGTTTGTTACTAACTGTTAGAATTTTTCCACCTGTTTTCTCTGTACCATTTTGGTCACATTCTTTTGTATTTTCAGTGGTTTTCTGCTTCTGTTTTGGAACAGTGCAGAGGTCTGAACTGTAGATTAGCTCTCCTATTATTTCCCCACTCATCATGCAAAATTTTGCCTCTTTTTGATGTTGTCTTTCTTTGCATACTAAGGGCTCTTCCACACAGCCACACAACCCAGAATATCAGGGCAGAACATCCCACAATATCTGCTTTGTACTGGGTTATCTGAGTCCACACTGCCATATATCCCAGTTGAAAGCAGATAATTGGGATTTTATTCAGCTGTGAGGAATTGGCTTTTAGAATCATAGAGCTGGAAGAGACCTTGTGGGCCATCCAAGAAGCAGGAAAATCTCATTCAAAGCACCCCCGACAGACCAGAAATACGTACTTTGTCAGTTATATACCTATTAGACTTCTCTTTTTGGATATTTGCAAGTATTGCATGGATAGTGAGGAAGACAATTTAATCTTTGTGATAATATTATTGCTCTTCAATTTTTGTAGGAATCTCTTTTAGGGTTATTGCAGTGGTTCTCAACCTGTGGGTCCCCAGGTGTTTTGGCCTACAATTTCCAGAAATCCCAGCCAGTTTACCAGCTGTTAGGATTTTTGGGAGTTGAAGGCCAAAAACATCTGGGGACCCCAGGTTGAGAACCACTGGGTTATTGGGACTTCGGCTTGAAATTTCCATTTTTTTTTTGTTGGAATATTGGACTGGAATAAGAGGGCTCTTTCACACTCTGCAATTATTCTAATTATCCTACTTTAACTTTCATGGTTGCATTTTATGGAATCCTGGCATTTTCTGTTTAGGGAAGGACATCTGAATCCCCAGTTCCTAACACCTCACCCAGCTAGAAATCCTGGAATTGCCTGAGGTGCAGACATAGCAGTTAAAATGGAATAACACTTCTATAACTGTGTAATGTGTAAGGACTCTTAGGCTGCATCTGTACTGTAGAATTAATGCAGTTTGATACCACTTTAACTGCTATAATTCAATGTCTAAGGTGCCCTAATCCTGGGGACCATAGTTTGGCAGAGAAATCCAAAAACCTTGCAAAATTATAATTCCCATTATTCCATAGCATTGAACCATGACAGTTAAAGTGTGTCAAACTGCATTAATTCTACAGTGTAAATGCACCCTCAGTCCGTTTTTCTCTATTAACTGTGTTCTTTTGCTCTTATCTCTTGTGTTTATTATTTATAATAATTCTAAACAACAATTATTACAAATAATTATTGTGTTTAATTGCCTCTTTTGTATTTTGTCTTATTGTATCTTGTATTTTGTCTTATTTTACATTGTATTATCCCAGAACCATTTTGTTTCTTTCAATGTCATGTGTGTGTATTTATTGGGAATCTCATTTTTTCTCTTTTAGTGGAGGAGTATGTGTGAAATGTGGCGTTTATAATAAGTCATGTAGCTGTTTTCTTCTCTTCTAAGCAAAAAACAGAGGAGTAAAATCATGGATGGGATTTGTTGCCTTCCCCCAGTGCTACAGTTTGTAATATAGCAATGCTTCCTAACATTAAACATCAACTTAGAATTAATGTAAATATTTTAAAAATCCCCTTTTACTTTTTACAGTAATTGTAACAGATTACCACCTTTTGAGGTCTAGCTTTCCTCTGGTTTAGATTTACAACAGTATACCTCAAAAACCAAAACTAGCCCCACATCCTCCAACTCTGTCATTTTCAGTGTGAGAAATACATGGACAAAATCTAAAAGGAGAGTGTTTGCTGTATGTATGTATGTGTTTTAATGGTTGTTTATGTCAGTGGACGTCTTGGATGTGTGCAACATACATTAAACGGGACAGTGGATTGAATCACTGTTTCTCTTTTATTTGACTGATCAGCTTATTTCCTAAAATCATTGACATGTAGAGTACAAATGAAAGAGAAGTACTGAAATGCACGTCAGCCCTTTGCTTCATGGACCAAAAGAACGGTACACTTTGTGAGGGATGTGCAGCTGAATGAATCAATTTTGTATCAAGTGATTTAAAAGCTGGGGGTGAGTCACAGAAAAATGGACGAATCTGATACTGTATGGAAGGATACGACGTGTTGATATTGGTCTACCATGTGTTCACCAGCTGCTTTCCTTGGCTTGAACAGAAGGTGGGATTTGTTTTGGTCCCTGGTTCTGCCCATGAATATTCACTGGTCCTTTTTGGATCTAATTGCTTCTAATTGTTCAATTATACTCAAAATAAAGAAACACCTAGATAAGAAACTTTTGCTATTTTTTGATAGAGCTTTACATTATAGGGGAATTGAATCCTTAAAAGCAAGAAGCCAGTGTGGTATATAAGTAATTTAAGTTGTACCATTAAGGTTATGTGTGCCAAGTTTGGTTCAGATCCATCAAGCCTTTTAGATATAGATATATAGATGACTTTTTGTGAGTATCAGTCCATCTCCTCAGTCATTGTATCTGAGAAAATGAACTGATATCTGCAAAAGCTCAAGCTAAAGTGTAAACGAGTTGTAGGTTCTTCATCTTTTCTTCCCCTCCCTTTTTTTCATTCAACTGTGAGTTATATTTCTTTTATTCAGTACCATTCTCTACAGAATGATGAGTCCAATGGAAATTTGGGGATCTTCATAATGCAGAGTTCCCGTATGATCACACTGGCCAGATTAAATCCAAATTGTAGGCATTGTATGCCATATCTGTTAGGACTATTAAATTGATTGAATTCATTTTTTAAAGTCTTTATCCCACCTGGAAGAAGAAATAAGCCCTCAGATTCACCGCACAGGTTTAGATGGGAGAGTTGCCTCAAGCCACAAACATCCAGGAAATGACCAGGTATGCCTACTTTTTTTTAGAAGCCTAGGATACCAAATTCGGTTGGTGCACAAGACTAGATGGGGATGATACCACAAATCATAGAATTTGCTCAGAAATAACCTTCTTCTACCCATTCTAGGTAGAATACCTATGTTGTGGGAAATAGCCTCCATTTCAGAAACTTTACTAAATTCACCACTTAGGCAGAACAAATGAAATGCAAAGATACAGAATGAGGGACGCCTGGCTTGACAACAGTACATGTGAAAAAAATCTTGGAGTCCTTGTGGAAAACAAGTTAAACATGAGCCAACAATGTTATGTGGCAGCTAAAAAGCCAATGGGATTTTGGCCTGCATAAATAGGAGTATAGTGTCTAGATCCTGGGAAGTCATGCTACCCCTGTTTTCTGCCTTGATCAGACCACACATGGAATACTGTGGCCAATTCTGGGCACCGCAACTGAAAGGAGATGTTGACAAGCTGGAATGTGTCCAGAGGAGGATGGCTAACCTGATCAAGGGTCTGGAGAACAAGCCCTATGAGGAGCAGCTTAAAGAGCTGGGCATGCTTAGCCTGTAGAAGAGAAGGCTGAGAGGAGACATGATGGCCATGCATAAATATGTGAAGGAAAGTCATAGGGAGGAGGGAGCAAGATTGTTTTCTGCTGCCCTGGAGACCAGGATGCGGAACAATGGCTTCAAATTTCAGGAAAGGAGATTCTACCTGAACATTAGGAAGAACGTCCTAACTGTGAGAGCTGTTCAGAGCTGCTCTCTGCCCTGGAATGTGATGGAGGCTTTTCTTTGGAGGCTTTTCAACAGAGGATGGTCATCTGACAGGGGTGCTTTGAATGCAATTTTCCTGCTTCTTGGCAGGGGGTTGGACTGGATGGCCCACAAGGTCTCTTCCAACTATATGATTCCATGATTCTATGAAAAAAGTGCAAAAGTGCAAAAATAACAAATAGATAACACAATTGGAAGCAGTAGATAGAGAATCTCTGCAAAGGCTAGATTAGAGCAAATTCTGGTATATACCATGAATTGCTAATATCAAAAATTGGAATAAAGCTTTTAAAAGAACACAAAATGTATCACCATGGCAAATGCAATGGAAACATAGATTGAATAAGTTTCCTGATTTTTTGAAAACTACATTAATGAAATTTTACCTTTTTCTTTATTGTACTGTAACATTTCATTTTTAATTCATTTATTTATATTTATGGCATGATTATACATACAATGTTCAATAAAATAATTTTCACTGTGTACATCTTTTCTGGCTATTATTATTCATGTCACTTCATAAAAATGACTGAAAATAACTTTGTTATGATGGGAGTATTAAAAATAATCTGTCAGGTTTCAGATATCCTAGTTACGCCACTGCATGGCTTTCTCTTGGAAAAAAATGGACACAGACTTCTTGTTCCTGTACCTTAAAGACTAACAGATTTAGTGTGGCACAATCCTACATACATTAGAGCTGGAATGGGGAGACATATGACGTTCCAGATGTTGGACTATAATTCCCATCAACCTTGGGCAGAAAAGCCAATTGTGAGTGCGAGATGACTGGAAGTTCTCAACAGTTGGGAGGCACACATATGTCAATCACAGGACTGGGGCTATTTATAAGAAGGAATAAGCAAATCCACCTGTTTCACTTTCTATAATACTTCTGCCAAGCAGAAATTCAATTTGTTTTGTTTTTACATCTGTTAGCAAATGATTTTATAAAACATTAACTTAAGCATTAAAACATCAACTTCCATACCCATTTTTATTTCAATTTCCCTAATAGACGTGTTTTTGCAAGAACCTTCACCATGTATAAGCATTTTGTGATCCATTTCCCTTAATTTTATATACATTTTTGTAGAAGTGCAAAACTCAGAGCAATTGCTTTCTGGTCCACAGGTCAGCTTGTGAAGTATAATTGGTTGTATGGTTAATATTGAAATGCAAACCAAATTTCACTCCTTTCTTACTCACCAAACATACAAAATAAAATTCAGCCTCATCTGAACTGACTCCATTGAGATCATTGATCGTAACTATGGTCGATGGTCATTGTAACTGAAAACAGTGGGAAAGCCTGGAGAAAGTGGAATTATTCCATAAAATGTGTCATAATAGTCTTTAACATGCTATGAATCTCTTTTGTTTTTGCTGATTAATTGTGCTCCTTGCTTAAAGTGATGTCACTTGGATGACTCAGAGAATATATCTGTTAGTAAAGCATGACATAGGGTGCTGGAAAATAACAATGGTCCAAAATTGTCACCCGTAACAGCAGAGCATGGCTTTCAGGGCAAATCTATTTACAGAGCTTGTTAAAGTGACTTCTTTGCACTATGACACCCAGAATCCCTCAGGCAGTATGACAACTGATTATGCAAGCTATGGGATCCTAGTACTTGTAGTCCAAAAACATTGCTGTCCCAAGCAAGGCCTGTTAATTTTGTTGAGGAATCTCTCCTCAAACCTAGCTATGGGCTTGATCTGAATTATGCAATGCAACATTCTGAACAAAAAACAAGGAAACAGGTAACCCATACCCATTGGCACAAAACATAGAAGTCAGTTGTTGAATGCCCAAACTAATTACTCAAAAATGATGGCCTCTGGTTGAGCCAAGTATTAGCTCACCAGGTCACCAAGTATTAGCTCATCCCCAT